GGCGGCTCGAACGGGTACCTCTCCGGCACCGCGATCTCCAGGGCGAACACGCCTCCCTCGTACGGGGACCCGGCGGCGCCCACCACCTGCGCCCGCAGCTCATCTATCCGGTCCCCGACCTGCCAGCAGCTGACTCCCGAGGGCGGCTCGGTGCTGAGGAGTTGCAGTTCCCGGTTCAGACGTGTCTGCCGCTGCATGTCCGATTCTCTTTGCTGAGGAGAACCCGCCCGGCTTCGAGGAGCGCGCCTGGTGGACCACGTGACTGGATCGACCAATCTGAGCAGGGCAGCGTTCGCGGGAAATGGCAGGAGCTGCTGATGCGCCTTTTGGCGGGAGGTGGTCACGTGACTTTTCTATTTACCTTTGAGAACCAATGACCCCGTGGTGACAGCAGAGTCTGTTTAATTATTAATAAAATCATTTATATTACCCAGAAACAAAGTTAAATCATACTGCAACAGTACACCAATCGCCTGTTCATACTTTATCACGCGGGAGTACAACAGCGCTCAACAGAATGGCGACTGTTCCTACCTGAGTGTCATGTTGCGATTCTATCACACTTTGTCTAAGAGTGCACACTCCTTTGAGCATTGAGGTACATCACATTGGACCGCTCATTCAAAATGAACGGGCTGTCAATGCACATAACATAAGGCAAAGGGGTCTTTAAGTGGGAAGGGGGTCACCTCCCTGGTCACCTCAGAGTGTCACGTGACTCCTTTCTGGTTTTCTGAGAGAGTCACGTGACTCCTCCCTGGTTACCTAAGAGGGTCAATGACTCCATGGTGACAGCAGAGTCTGTTAAGTTATAAATAAAGTCCTTTATATTACCTGGAAACCAAATAAGATAACACTGCAACAGTACACTAAGGGCCCTATTATAAAACAGCAGTCTGACCTTAGGGCCGCATCATGTGGCCATGAAACCCTATAATCCAGGGAGCCAGCTTGCTTTTGATACCCTGTGGGGTGTACAAATCTCCCTTGTTGCTCTCATTCAGCGTGGATCTGACCCAGCCCTCTTCCTTGTATGGTTGCCAAGTGAACAGGCCCTTACTCTGACCATCCCAAGTTTGGGATGTGTATGGACGTGCAGCAAGACGGGAGGGAAAGGGGGATGTGTATAGCTGGCCAGCAAGGTGCAGGAATGGGGATGTCTATTGACAGGCAAGAAGGAGGGAAGGATATGTATGGACGGGCAGCAATGCAGGAAAGAGGAGAGGATGTGTATGGGTAGGCAATGCAGGAGGAGAGGTATGGAAGGCCAGTGAGGTGCAACAATGCAGGAAGGAGGGGTGGACGTGTATGGACAGGCAGCAATGCAGGGAGGGGGTAGGCCTATGGATGCCCAGTGATTTGCAGCAATGCCGGAAGGGGGGTTGATGTGTATGGATAACTAGCTAGGTGCAGCAATGCAGGGAGGAATGTGTATGGACGACCAGTGAGGTGCAGGAAGGAGAGGAGTGGGGAATTTGTACGGATGACCAGTGATGCACAGCAGTGCAGGAGGGAGGAATGTGTATGGACGACCAGTGAGGTGCAGGAAGGAGAGGAGGGAGGAATGTGTATGGACAACCAGTGAGGTGCAGGAAGGAGAAGAGAGGGGTATGTGTATGGACGACCAGTGAGGTGCAGCAATGCAGGAAGGAGTAGAGGGGGGAAGGTGTATGGACGATTAGTGAGGTGCAGGAAGGAGAGGAGGGGGGAATGTATGGACAGGCAGCGAGGTGCAGCAATGCAGGAAGGGGGAATGTGTATGGATGACCAGTGAGGTGCAGCAATGCAGGAAGGAGAAGAGGGGGGAATGTGTATGGACGATTAGTGAGGTGCAGCAATGCAGGAAGGAGAAGAGGGGGGAATGTGTATGGACAGGCAGCAATGCAGGAAGGGGGAATGTGTATGGACGACCAGTGAGGTGCAGGAAGGAGAGGAGGGAGGAATTTGTACGGACGACCAGTGATGCACAGCAGTGCAGGGGGGAGGAATGTGTATGGACGACCAGTGAGGTGCAGGAAGGAGAAGAGAGGGGAATGTGCATGGACAACTAGTGAGGTGGAGCAATGCAGGAAGGAGAAGAGGGGAATGTGCATGGACGACCAGTGAGGTGCAGGAAGGAGAGGAGGGGGGAATGTGTATGGACGACCAGTGAGGTGCAGGAAGGAGAGGAGGAAAATAAACTTTAGAATGCTCCCAGCAGAAGATGACTTAAAATGTGTGCCGAAATTTTGCAAGCATTCCCAAATCTGGCACACCACCGTGCAATTGGCGTGCACCACTTTTATTAACGTTCCACAGGAAGCGCTCAATATGCAGACCTGTAGAAGCCGGAACATTTTTCAGCACATGCCAGTCTCTGTTATTCCTCCCGCTGGTATTTATGTCATAAATTATTATATATATATGTGTCGTGAATAATTAAAGTTGTTCCTTTATAGCCTCTTATTAACCCCTAATGGTCTTTGTTAACGCCTCCCTCCATTTTTTTTTGGTTTATTTTTGTACTGTTTAATTTTAAAAATCCTTTTTTTTTTTTTTTTTTTAAACAATATTTAAATGATGTCGCCAAACACGTTATACTGAAATTGCAGCTGGAAAAATAGGAAGAAACCAAAACAAATGTATGTTATGACATGAGAACATCCGGCAGTTTTTGTTCCCCTCTCTTTATTTACCAGCACGTGTAAACACAGCAAAGTGTCTAGAATGGCGGACGTGGAGCTCAAACAAGATTTTCTGTGGGGTACAGGACACAAAAACAAAAGAGAAAACGCAACTTGAAGTTAATTTTTTTACTGTTGTATTAAAATCATTTTTTTTTAAAACAAATGTAAATAACGTCACGCCGAACACGTTGTACTGAAAACGTAATTTTATAGCAGCCGGAACAGGAATGGTACAGAGGTGGACACGCCGACGGTGTTGTGTGTCACCGGCGGTGCCACGTGACTGACGTTGGTCCCAGGAACACATCTATATCTGCTCTAATTTTTCGGAGCGCGGTCACATCTCTGCAGGTCTTGGATGAGCGGCTTGTTATGATGTTGTAGTATTTCGTATAACGTGTCCTTGTGGTGGTCTCCCCATCCTCTGATGCAACCATACAGCTCCCTCATCCTATTCTGAGGGGTATCTTTGCTCCGCACTTGATCATATTGTTCCTGGGTCAGCAGATCCTCGTGCAGAAGACCGTCTAAGACAGAATCCACCAAATGTACCCGACTTATCAGATCCTCCCGATGTCTGTCCACGAAGTGCCTGCCATCTGTGAAGGAGAGAGAAGTGCCAGCACCACCATCTGTGAAGGAGAGAGAAGTGTCAGCATATTGAAGGAGAACTCCATCGCTATATATTCAATAGGCTACATTTTACCATATATGGTAACTCCAAATTTATTCCCCCGGCAGCATCTACGGCTTTCTAAAACTGCAGAGTTTTCCAAAGGTCGCACCCCCGCTAGCTTTTTAGAATCTTTACCACACCCCCTAAGAAGCCAAGAAAATGAAGTCTTACTCCTTATGCTGCGTACTCTGTAATGTAAGGAAAGAAGGCACGGAGAATTCTGCAACAGAACGAGAGACCCTTGGTGGATGTCATGGCGGGCAGGGCAGGATTTCCCACAAGGCCCGGCCTCGGGGCAGCAGGGAGTAGAGGGGCAGCATGGGTGTGCAATTCCTGACGCCCAGGACATGCGTTGGGCGGGTAGTTGTTTAATACATTTAGCCCTGCTTTGGGCAAGCAGGGCTAAATGTAGAGCGGGGAAGCCGGCGCTTGTTTTGTACAACTGATCTCGGCGATGTTGCTGAGATCACTTGTATGCAGCCTGTATACAGGGGGGCGCATTGAGGAACCTGGCATTGGGGCAGCAGAGAGAATAAATCCGGCCCTGATGGCGGGTGGATGGTGCTAGAACCTCAAGAGTTGTGACTGTGAAGATTGTGATTGGATCACTTGTGATGTACGGCGTCCCTATTCTTCAGTTCCACATAAATTGGGTGCTGTGGCAGTAAAATTATTTTTGGATGGGTGTAGTTTTTATTCTGGGATATTTGCTCACTCCAATTATTTTTCTGTTTAATGGGGATTGCTGCCTCCAGTAGTGCAGAGCTGCTATGGGAGCAGCATTATGACCCTCCTGTGGCATCCCCTGTATGGGGTGGTGGGGGGTGGTCAAATTTTTGGGGGTAGCAACACCTTTAGACAACATACCGTAATAAGTTTTTTTTCACTTATCTGATATGTTTTGTCACAAAGTCACTTTCAGCCGCTGACGTATACTATATATCGCCACTTCACACAGTTTTGATGCTTGACATGTTTGCTATCTTTTTACAGGATATCCAGGCTGTTGCGGCCGGCTGAGTCACTATTCGGGTGGTAGATGGGCGTGATGAAGTGCACCCGGGGCGGCTCAAAAAATTGGGTCATATATTGGGGGGAGGTTCGTAAAAACTGGAGCACACAGAATCTGGAGCAGTTGCCCATGTGCCCTTAGGCAGCAGCTTCAGGATGTCCAGGCAGATGCGGCCGGCCGAGTCAATATTCGGGTGGTAGATGGGCGTGATGACGTGCACCCGGGGAGGCTCGAAAAATTGGGTAATATATTGGGGGGGAATTCATAAAAAAACTGGAGCAAAATAAATTTGGACAAGTTGCCAATGTGCCCTAAGGCGGAAAGTTCAGGATGTCCAGACAGGTGCAGCTGACCGAATCGACGTTCGGGTGGTAGATGGGCGTGATGAAGTGCACCCGGGGCGGTTAAAAAATTTGGTCGTATATTCGGGGGGGTTTATGAAAGCTGGAGCACACAGAATCTGGAGCAGTTGCCCATGTGCCCTTAGGCAGCAGCTTCAGGATGTCCAGGCAGATGTGGCCAAGTCAATGTTCGGGTTGTGGATGGGCTGATGAAGTTCACCCGTGGCAGCTTGAAAATTTGGGTCATACTGTATATTGAGAGGAATTCATGAAAACTGGAGCATGGCGAGCAATGAGCTTCTCTTTTCAGTTTGTTCCGTTAAAGTAGACCTCCGGGCAAATCAAATATTAACTCTTGCAGTGGGGCTACCCCCACACTGCGAGGGTCAGGTGCTCGTTTTGTCTAGGGAGCTAGACAAAGTAGTCACCGCTCCAAGCTCCCCCCGGGATAGACTACAATCTCATGTTTAGTTTACTGATTTGTATTGAGATTGTAGTCCATCCC